TAGTTCCAGTAGTTTGTCTAGGACTTCTTAAGTGTCCAGTGATGTTGGAGCCGACTTGTGAGTTTAATTCCTCCTGAGGAGGAATATAAACTGATCACAGTTGTTGAGCCACGTAGGATACGATTCCTAAGTGTCAGCCTCCTAGTACTTTCCTGAGGAAGGTCCTATGAGCCTGTTCACTTAGTTCCCCTAGTGCATATAGGTTCTTTCCCAAATATCCAGTGACGCCGGAGCCTTCATGTGAGTTTAATCTCTCCTGAGGAGGGATATAAACTGATCACAGTTGTCGAGCCGCATAGGATATGATTCCTAAGTGTCAGCCTCCTGGTACTTTCCTGAGGAAAGCACCATGAGCTTGTCTGCTTAGCTTCCTTTCTCTGGTAAGCTTATTCTGAAGCTTGGAGACTGGGATTGATTCCTCCTGCCTAGGGTTTTGATTAGATCTTTGCTTAAGGTGTTGTGTAGAGTTCTGGTTAGAGCTAGATTAGGAGATTGTTTCAGGTTTGTTAGAGGCCCTGCTTAGGGTTAGTCTCTTTGTATTGTTTGACTTGTGTGATGTTATGTTGCATTAGACTTAGGTGTTCATCTAGATAGTTCTGAATAGGTGCATCTTAGAAGTAGATTTTGTGTGCATGAGAAGTTGAGGTGGTCCTCCTTCTGCTTGTTTGTTATTGCGTGGCTTTGCTTGTTGGTATTCGGTAGAGCTGAGCTCCCTTGCCTTTGTGGTTTGCGGCCTCTGCGCCTTGTTTGTTTAGCTGTTGCATTCATGCATATTTTCAGTATTCCTTTGCGTTGCAGTTTCTTGTTTGTAGTTTAATCCTGTTGCCATGATCCCTTAGGAGCTCTGACTTCTCCGCTGCGGAGTTGTTATGATAGACATTAGGCTGGTCAACCAGGTGTGATAGCAGTAGGTAGATTCCCCTGTTTCTCAGTTATAGTTCTAGGGTTTCCCTTTCCTTTCTGTAGGAGCTTTTGAGTAGCTTGATCCGTAGTTAGCTGAACTACAGCTGCTCTGATTCTTCGTTCCAGACGAAGATATGTAGGCATAGGATGCGATATCCTAGCGAGCACACTAACGACTAACTTTTGTTCTCTCGCGGCTGCGCGATCGAGACTTTCCCGCTAACGACTAATTGTTATCCCTTTCTCTTGCCCGAGTGCAGTTGAGACCAGATCGTAGTTGTAGGTTCCCGAGCCTTAGAGACCAGTTTGTTTTCTCACTGTTGTGTGAGAGCCCCTGTTTACCCGTAGTTAGCCGAACTACGTTTGCTCTGATCTTTCATTCCCGATGAAAGTACGTAGGCACAGGATGCGATGTCCTGGCGAGCAACCTTTCCCCTGTTTAGACGTAGGAAGTCGAACTACGTTGACTCTGACTTTCCCATTGCACGAGGGAATACGTAGGCCCAGAACATCGTATGTTCTGTCGAGTCCTGTCCTTTTATTTTCTTTTCAGACCAGCCATTAGCGTAGATAGATAACACACCCTTTTACCTATAAACACCAAGCGTGGATCCCATCGAGTACGATGGACGTGAGGGGTGCTAATACCTTCCCCTTGCGTAACCGACTCCCGAACCCAGGCTATGGTTGCGATGACCATACCTTTTCCCGTCTTTGCGAGGTTTACTTCGAGCGTTTCCTTTCCCGCTCTGAGGGATAAATAACGCACGGTGGCGACTCTCCTGTCAAGCCGGCGCCGATTTTCGCAGTAGCGACAACTGCTGTGAAGAGAATTATCAAGTATCTCAAAGGAACGACCAACGTTGGATTATGGTATCCTAAAGGTAGTACTTGTTCTTTAGTTGGTTATTCTGACGCTGACTATGCAGGATGCAAAACCGATAGAAAAAGTACAAGTGGTACATGTCACATTTTCGGAAATGCTCTAGTATCATGGGCCTGCAAGAAGCAAGCTTGTGTAGCACTCAGCACCGCCGAAGCAGAATACATCGCCGCAGGAAGTTGCTGTGCACAGATCTTATGGCTGAAACAACAACTTCTGGATTATGGTGTTGACCTCGGATGCATTCCTCTATGATGTGACAATACTAGTGCCATAAATATCACGAAGAATCCGGTTATGCATTCCAGAACAAAGCATATTGATATCCGGCATCACTTCCTTCGAGATCACATATTGAACAGAGATGTTGATGTTACTTTCTCGACACACACAACCAACTCGCCGACATCTTTACCAAGCCTTTGGCGAAAGAACCGTTCTACAAAATTCGGAGAGAACTTGGGATTCTTGATGAAGGTGACATCTGACCTTTTCTCTAATATGTGTATGCATCATCTGTGATATGTTTTCATGTGTATGCATTCTGTTTTTAAGTATTTTTCAAAAATTCGAGTGTGTTAATCGATTAACCATATGGGTTAACCGATTAACACTATTGAATTTTCAATTCTGATTCAATTTTTTAATGTGTTAACCGATTAACCTATATGGTTAACCGATTAACACTGTTAAATTTTCTAAAAATCAGAAACGAAAATTAATTAAATTTTTGAAAATATTATATATTAAATGTATTTTTATGTGGTCCATATTCTCTCAAATATCCAAATCCATATCCAAAATCCGTATTCCCTCTTCAAACCCTAACTTCTCTCTCCCACTCTCTAAAGTTGGAAAACTCCCCACAACTTCTCAAACCCTAACTTCCTCAGAACCCACAACCTCAGTTCTCTCAAACCTTCATCCATGGCTTAAGCATCAAATCACGGCAAGGGAAAACTACCAGAACATCATTCTGCATTAGAATCTGATGACGACAGCATTCCAATGGAAACCACCAAAAAGAGGCGGATGGATTTCAAAGTTCGTGTTCGTCAACTTATGTCCGTAAAGTACGTAAATCTTCGAGCTTTTCCTGCAATATCTTTTGATTTTCCTACTCTATTGGAATATCAGCGTATCGACAAGTTCGTCACCGACTCTGGTATTATTTATCCTGATCTTGTTAAAGCTTTTATGAATAAAATGGCTGTATATCTGGACATGGATGAGAACCACATGATCCGTTCCACCATTAGAGATCATGAGTTTGTTGAGAATTTATCCACCCTTGCTAGACACCTTAAGATTCCATCAAAAGGCTGCTTCCTGAGGAAAGGTGTAAACCATGTAGATGGACCCTGGGCAAATTATGATAAAATGGAGTATTACTATCAGATTTGCAGGTTCCCAAAAGAAACCGTTATTGCAAACTCTCGCACCGCTCGTATGCTGTGCTATGCCAAGAATCCGACAGTATCTGATCGAATGCTTCACTACATTATCTGCTATGTCCTCATTCCAAAGGACTCAAATCACTCTCAGATCAACGACTTGGAAATGCAGCTGCTCTTTGCAATTAAGAATCGCATCAAGGTCAATTGGATTTTGACTATTATGTATCATCTGCAGCAACAACTTCATTGCATTACCCGGCTGCCGTATGCTCGTTTGGTTTCTAGAATTCTGGAATTAACTGAACTTGACCTCAACAGAGAACCATCCTCCAAGATGAAACCTACAACTAATGAGATCAATGAGATTAATATTGTGAAGAATACTGGAATCATCAAAGCGGCTGACGGTACCTACAGGTATACCGATGACGGTCCTGTCCATCACGCATATCCAATGCCTGAAGGGGGTCTTACTAGTGAGTTTCTCTATACAACCATGATGAACCAGCATCGAGAGTCGATGAATATGCATAGAGAGACCTCCCGAGCCATTGCCTCCCTCAGAAACCTCAT